TGTATAATACAATATTTATACAACAATATTTTATTGTCATGTATAAATGATTAAGAAAATTTTTTTTCCTTTAGTAAAAAGGAGCGATCGTTTCTTGAAAAAATCTTTTCTTTTTTTCTTAAAACTTGCATTTAATATGCTAAATTATAAAGTAGTGTAACCAAACCTTAATCATTTCCTGTGTAATAATTACTCAACCTGACTCATACAGTTATAATCCCACTTAATTTTTCTCTCACATTATCAACTAATATCAAAATGACATGACAGGTGCTTCCTTTTAAATTTTTAAAACGAATTTATTTTTTATATTATTTATTAATTTCTATCCAAACGTTACAAATAAATCAGATTACCTACAATTCATCCAATGGAAAGTAAAGAAATTTCTAACATTGTTCCAACCTAGTTTGATATTTTTCTATTCTATAAAACAACCTTTAAACACAATAGTTTGTTTTATAAATAAAAGATTAATACAATTTAACATTTTGCTTGAATCACTTTTAAAAAAGTAAACAGATTTTTACAATGTATTTAATTCAACGTAATCAGCAAAAATATTTAAACCAAAGATGTAAAAGCTCTAAAAAAGAGTGTTCAGGAAGTGTTTCGTTTTAAAAACAAAGAAGAAGAAAAACGGATCCCAAGGATGTCTACATTACAAATAAGCACTTCCATCCTCTCCTTCTCCAACATAACACTCATAAAAGTGTTAATGAAAACGCCTCTTTACAAAAACCTCTCTAAAAGATTCAAAAAGAATACTTAAACAAACCAATAAGAACACTTAAAAGTTTTAACAATTAATACTTTAACGTTCAAGAGTTAACTAACACACAATATTTAACTTTTACTTCTTATCGGTTTTTGTCGAAGGTCTGAGTTATAAATAAGACTCAATCGAATGCAATGTTTACAACCGAATCGACTCAAACGATCAGAGGCAATAACAAAACAGTAAAATGCAACAAGTACATATCTGTATATAAGTAAAACGAACACATAGAGTAATCGAAATCAATCTGGCTTGGTACGGGTTCAAGAACACCAAATTAGGTTAACCAACACCATCTACAAAAATACATCTACAATTGCAACGTCTGTTTGTCTGGGTTAAATTCGCGAAACGTTGCGTGTTTCGTGTCAAGGATTTTAGGTGGTCAGATATGCATAAAGAAAACATTTTTCGATAAATTATCTAGATTAATATTGTGAAATATGACTATCACAAGAACAAAAAATACAGGAGAAATTAAAGTCACATTATTTTATTTATTAATTACATCAACAAAGATACAGTTAATTGTTAAAAAGATTCTGATAATTATTTATCTTAGTCTAGATAAGATTTAGAGTTATCTTTAAAGAATGGGATCTTATAAAACAGTAATTGTTAAAATAATAATGTAAGAGTAGCAAAAAAATTAGGTTATCACGTTTTTTTTTTAATTATTTCTTGTGAACAATACAGGATGTTATTTAAGTTGGGATTAAAATGTAACTTTGTTGAAATCGTCCTTGAAGATGACAAGATCGTTAAAAATGTGTAAAAGTACACAATTATAACTGCTATTTATGTAATGAGACCATAACTTACAATTAGATCTTGAGTTTACAACTACTTGCCAAAACACGTTTAAGATTTATCGATGTCAATAATAAAAATGTTTTGCTTTCAAATTGTTTGTATTCACTGAAATTTGTAGAATAATGTAGTAACATAATTTTATTAATGTTTTATTTGGATAATGTATTATTTGTTCTATGGTTAATAAAACCATTATTATGATTATTTATATTTATTATTTTATAATGTCATATTTCAAAATGATATAGTAAACTTTAATTAATATAGTCGGCGACAATGATTGCTAATCAATACTCCTCAATCCATTCTGAAAGCAATCTATTAAACAGGCTTCTTCTCGCAAAATGATCCTGAATGTGAAACGTAATTCCAGTGGTAAAAAAAAATAATAAAAGTTGCATAGTTCAAAGTTGCAAAATTCCAGTAACTTATGGTCTAAAATTAACAACATATACAGGTAGCCCAGAATATGTGAGCATCCGTTAGGGGTGTGGAGTTTATGTAAGAACACCACTAAAATGAGATATTCATTTTGTTATTTTGTTTTTGTAATCATACAAAATTCGTACAAATACTTTGGGGATTGACAGTACATGTTCCGTTTTACTAGTAACTTTCCACGCACACATGACAACGTCGTTTTATATTATCTACAAAGTCATCATTTTTAGATTCACTATCTTTGAATTCTGAGTACGAATATATTATGTTTTTGGGTATTCATAATAGATTTTGATGCATTCCATAAAGTTCCATTTATAGATATACTAATTAGATTTTATAAAAAAAGCTGCAAGGGCCGAAAGCAACACAAACGTATTGACCACCACCAGCGCATGTGACGTTTCAAAGATTCACATATTATTTCTAATTGCATTCCATTTTAATTCACATGTTCGGTAATTATCACAAACAACGGTAATCGTAAATATTATGTTTAAAATATACGTAAGATATTGTCCCAGTGACGTTAAAATATTAATTCAATATCTACATAATAAAACAATTCTAATAGCTCTGTTTAGTTTTTTGCAAAAAAAATGAACATGAATCTCCTGCTGTATACAAGGTACCTATACAGTGACATAAATGTAAGACATATTGGGCTTAAACTTCACATTGTTATAATTAGTATTTGTAGTTCAAGAATTTCTCATTCTTCCAACCGGAAAATCTATTATTGGAAAAAATAATATACTTCAGAAGGGACAGTGTGATTACTAGTAGCAAAATTTGAAAAATTTTTTCGGGTAACAGATACTGCCAACCGTTGTGAAGTTTCAGATTTAGCTGTTCGTCTTCAGCCTTCAGATCTTTCATTGTTTCGGCTATCTTTAATAATTATCCAGAGATCTCATATAGATTGGATTCATTTAGACTTATATCGAACTCTTTCTATGTCCTGCTGACAATTTTAAAGAATGCTAAAATCAGGTATTTTATTCCAAAATCGTCGTTGATTATTCTTCACGGTCTTTACACCCGAAGAGGATGGAGGAAGGATGGATAGACACGTGAAGGTGTCTCCTTGTTTGGGAGTTTGTCAATTAATTTAAGTGATGGGCAGCAAGAATTAACATGTAAATATTCAGGAAGATTGTGAGTTCATATTTTATAAAGTGGTATCAACATATAAAGACATCCGATTAAGTAAACAGATGAAAAACAGTTATAAAACGAGATTTTATATGGTGTTTAGAATAGACCATACAGAATAGATAAATGTCTACGACCAAGTATAATTACGTGTCTTTTCATCGAATTCAGCACAAGACTTCTGGTGACACTTTCACCAGGGAAAAATTCTTTCCAGATTACCATTGAAGCAGTCCATGATACTACAAAAATCCGAAACCTTGGTATGAGGGATATACACAGGTAAGCGAACTTATTAATTTACCGATAAGCAAACTGAAACATAAGGGAAAAAACTCCATCCTACGGCCTCGACTACAATTAAAACGGAAAATGTATCAGACAGAATTTATATCATTTCAACTCAAATCTGGTCTACAGTACACACTGCCTCGTCCGCAAGCGGCCCCGGCTAGCATTACAACAGAAAATACAGCCTGATTATGCCGAGATAGCTTGCGGCCGATTTATTGCAATTTATACCATTTCAACACAAATCTGGACTACACCTTACGCTGCCTCGGGCGCAACACTAGGACCTAAAACTAGAAAGATTCCGGTTCTTTAGACGCATGTTTTGTATGCACATCATATCACAAATATTAATATTTATTGATATTGTATTCATTTAAAAATTGTTATTTGTAACAGCTAGCCAACAAAAGATGGCACTAGTGCAAAATTTGAAATTTAAATTGCAAGAGTGTATTGAAAGGTATATTTTTATACTCATTTTTTTTTCAAAAAGATGATAAGAAGTGGTGCTTTTTTAATCTAATTTAGCAAATTCAATGACTTGCTAAATAAATCAATATTATTATCTTTCTAGAGTACAATAATCACTTTAAATGTATTTAGGTAAACAATACATAAAGATAAATACCAACTTTTAACTGTTTCTTCTTTAATAAATAATTTTCAATGTTATACTCCAACTTCCTGTTTACATATTCAATCCAAAGGTTATTTAAAAAAAGTTGACATTGAGACAAGAATTTTTTTTGAAAAATGAGTTCAAAAAAAGGTGTACAAAGTAAACAATATTATGCAATTTAATTGTTTGTTTGGAAAAATTACAACCGCTTTGACGTCGACTTTAACCTTACAAGGAAAAAACAGAGAATTTATTTTGAACAAATTTAGAGAAAGTTCGTCAGTAGATCTTATCGTTACAGTACAATAATTACATCTGCTTATCATTTTTATCAGTGATCAATAGGAAAGTACGGGAAAATTACACTAATATTAATTGTTAAAAGTTTCTAATCAATCATGATTTACAAAAGAGTTGTAAATAGAGTTTGTGACCTCAATTACCAAAAAATAGCTTATAACAAAAATATGTGTAGTTATTAGATGGTGTTGAATTAATAAAATTTAAATTGTAAATATAATTAAAATCTCAATCCTTGAATAGTTCATAAGACTTATATAACTTTGTGGTCTTATCAAAGGAATAAACACAAATATTGATTTATCTAATTAATACCCTTCCATAAAAAAATCAAGATAAATATTTTTTTGGGTTGAATACTAATTCTAAATATTCCATACAAGAAGAGAAAGTTGATTCGATAAGAATCCGCGGGATATCTTAAAGAAGATACTTAATATTTCATCAATTTCAGTCCTAACGGAATGTAACCAATTAAACGAGTGTAATGACCCTTTGATTAGAAATGGGTCGTAAAAACAACGTTTGACCTAGGAGATTAGGGACTACACTATACCCGGATAGTTTTATAAAAAGAGATAATTCTCTTATAATACATACCTGCGTTTCTCTTTAACAGCTGGTTTGTTACACATTTTTTCTTTGGCACGAGCACTTCTTAGTCACTGCTAAGGAAGTACGAACTAGTTACACAACGGACGATTTACTTTACAAATAGAAAAATAAACCTGATTAAAAACTCTCACTACACTTTACAGAATAACAACACAGTATACTAATCAGAATATCGCTTTATGACTGAGTTTACGTCAGAACTCAGTCGACAATTCGATACTAGCGCCATCTGTATAAAAAGTTTTAAAGTACCGATTTGTATTATTTTTTTTGTTGATTTGGACTGATAATATTAATAAAATTAAAAAACTTAAATCATTTCATGTAATACGATTACTTTAATTTAATTCATTTTAAAACAATTATGATTAAACCATTGATTTATGTAAAATATTTTAAAAAGCTCCATCTGTGTAATGAATCCTAAACTAATATTATGGCACAAAATTTGAATTAATAAATAAATACAAAATGTAATAAAAGGAAGTAAGAAAAAACGATTATTGTTTTATAAACAGAAATTATTTAAAACCAATTTTATCTCTCAGTTTTCAATTTTTCTTAATTCATTCGTTTCTGTATTATTCTCTATTTCTACATATAATCAACAAATTTATAGATTACAATTTCTACTCAAAACTATATCCGTGTATGTTACGCGACCCTGCCTCTCTCGTAACTTCCTGGATTTTATGACTAGCAAGGTAAACAGCGATTTATCGCTGTCTCGAAAAGGTTTAGATAGATAAAAAGAGAATAAAACGAGTATTTTAACGATACATGTTTAGAGATGTAAACCATTAATTAAATTAAAACATAATTCGTAAAATGATTATTCCATTTAATGCAGTTGTTTATTGTTAAATAAATTATCTACTGCCAGATAATTGTTACTCTGCAAATAGAACAAACAATTATTTTAGCTGTGAACTAAAATAAATATCATTTGTGGTACTTACGAAAGTTCTTTGGATTTGTGAAGATATTACCAAGAGTACACAGAAGAAAAAATGTAGACAATATAGTTGAATGTTTAAATATAGAATGGACAAAAAAATTTGAAGATTTGCTTTATATACTTAAACTGATAACTGAATTGATTGCTGTGTAGACTGCAAGTACTATAAGATATATATGTGTTCAAATATTGCGCAGCAAGTGCGGGATACAATTCTGCCGCGCGCAAGTTTGAACATCCCAAAGAATGTTGGCATATGCGAAAAATAAAAATAATATTTGTTGGTGGTGTATACGTAGTTAGTCAATGCAGTGGCGTTGAGCTGTTGGAATTTTATATTGCTTCTACTATAGATAGTTATGATTCCCAACTGCTTTCTTTACTGGAAAGGGTTTCAAAATAATTCATTCAATAAAATCCCATGCAGTTGGTTGCAACAGTATTAATATTACCATTTTGGATTTATCATGTCATCAATATGGCATCATAAAATCATACAAATTCAAGTAGCAAATAAGTTTTATTACCTTGCTGTGGTATCTAAAGCCAATGTGACAGATCTTTTCAAAATATGTTTGACTCCATTGTTAAGCTTTATAACAACATATAACAAATTCTGTTATACAAACTCTAGAAATACAGAATGCAACATTGTACACAAAATAAGTATGAGATGATTTATTGGACCACTCCTCAAGAAATACAATAAAATAAAACAAATAGTACTAACCAAAGGAGTTTGTATTAAACGGAAAAACAGAAATGACTATAAAATCTACTATCATTTTTCAACTTAAACCAATTATTTTGTTTTTTTCCCACTATTCATATGTTCGTTTTCTATTTTTGTCGCTTCATCAGGTAAAGGTAAATCATCATCTTCACCCATATCTTTACTATACAAAGCAGGAAATTTCCTCATACATGTTTGCATTGTTTTAAAAAGATCAAAACAATCACTTCCTGAAAGAAAAATGTTTGTGAGGTTATTTTCAACCTGTCAAAACAACATTTTTAGGTTAATCTCTTAATTTTTTACCTTTGGGTTCTGCTGTAGAATGATGAAAACAACTAAATGCTTTTCTGAATTCAACTCCACAAGGTCCTGTAGCCATGCCACCGAGGCAAGGGCAATTCCAATTTATATCACCGTTAGCTAATATTAAACCAGGTTGTTGTTCGATTTCTGGAAGTGTAACTTTACTGGGAATTTTATGATCTTCTTCTGTAGCAAAAATAACAATATCCTTCTTATTAGGACCCATTCTTCTACAGTGCGACATCTTTTGTACTATGCTTATATCTCCTACTATCCGCAATCAAAGAATTCAAACAACTTGCAGCTTTTTTGATTGTATAAGTACAGGGTACTCCTTCGTACGTTCCACACAAACTTAAACTCGCCCTAATTTTAACGTATTCACTTGAAGGAACACGAATAATAGCCTCTTTAGTTTTTGGATTATATTTTAGTAGATCTATCCCGCAAGAAGAGACGGTTTCGCCAAACAACTGATTTATGGATTGGACGAAATGTTTTTTAAAGAAAGCCGGTGTTATTTCACGAGATTCTTCGTTATGAAGCGATCTGAAAAGAAATTTTGAGGTTAGGTTACATGTCTAACGTGATTTTGACGCGTGATGTTATCAATTAAAATGACAATGTTATTAAGTTACGGATCGACATACTAACAATGTAATGTTTAAGTAATAATAAATACTCATTGTGTGTATTAAAAAACGAATAAAAGTACCATTTCTTTTGAAAATTAATGGGATTGTGACGAGATGCGGTTTAACCAATGACAGTTGAAGTAGAATTACAGATTCCTGTAAAATTTACTTAAGTTTTTTACTTTACCGTTTAAGTTATTTTTTTTATAAATTAATTATATTGTTTTATTATGATTTATTAGGTCGAATTCTATTTTTTTGCGTTTTAATCATTGCAGATAATTTTATTTAATAATTTCCGATTATTTTACGTTTTCGATAAGAGATAGAGCCATTGTTGAATTGTCAAATGATTGTTGCTTTTGATGTTTGAAATTTTAAGGTTCTAAAATTTTTTATTGTTGTTAAAAGTACTAATTTATATTATTTTTTTAGATATTTAGAGTTATATTGAAATGAATTCACAATAAGACAGATTAATTTTAGTATTTATTTCATAGATGGAAACACATACATGGCTATTTCTAATAATTTAAGAGAGAATTGCATGGCGACAGAGCAAAATATAAAATTTGGTTTTCCTAATTGGTATAAACTAAGAATAAAATGTTTCTAGAGTTGTAATAAGCTAAAACTTCTGCGTAATCGACATAATAATAAAGTATGGCATCATATTGTTCAACTACATTCCACCTTTTGTTCGGATATAGACCAACTAAAGTTGATCCTATATAATAAACTCGGTCCATTGGATCATCATAACGAGTAAGACTAAGTTGAATGGCAGCTTGGACGTTATTTATCATTGCTGGATTCATATTATGTCCAAGAACTTGAGTCTAAAAAGAATTAATAAATGTAGTTCACCAACCATAATGTTTTCAAGTCGTATTGTAAGGGTTAAAGCAGCTGGAACCCTCAGCATTAAGTTAATTAATTTATATAAATATGGAAAACATCAAACCTCTCTTGGTGCAGCCAAAGAATCGAATGTAATAGCTTTTGAGGAACCCATCTTAATCTCATCGGCGTTTGAAACGCCCATAAGGGCTAAAGACCCCAAAAGAATAATAATTTTAAAACTCATTGTAGATATTCTTGAAATAACAACACTGTCTGGCTGTTAGTCTGCTTTTGAGGTGTTTATATAGGTGTGAAATGGTGTCAAATAGCCGATAAAGTGTATCTAGATATATGTAATTGGAGTATGTTTCACAAAATAACAGTTTCGTTAATTGAAAATTGTGTTTGTTTTTCTTATTGATAACAATACGATTTATTCGTATCAGTAACTGGTACTAGGAAATCAACGTTTCTAGATTTTTCTATTGATATGAGTTATTCATATAAAACGTTGATTAAAAGTGATGTCGATCTGGGGATGAGATACTAGCTGGAAGTGCAAGACGAATGGAATAAAATCGGCAAATTTGTAAAGAGATTCGCACTCTGCCTCTGTATAGACGAGGAAGGCGGCCTTTGTGTAGAAAATAACGAGATGTCGTCATCGTGATCACGTTACATTACGCTTTATGTCATTTGCTTAGAGAGAGCGAGGTTCCGGGAAATCTACAAATTGACAACAAAAGCTTTCCATTTCTGTGCGACAAAGAATCTTTGTTAACGTAATTCTTATTGTTGTCTCTCGTATTTGAGATAACAATTATGAATTAGGACCAAATTCTGAAAATGTTATAAGTATTTTTCAATACATAGTTGAAGATGAGTTTTTGGGTGTTCCTACAGAATTAATTATAAACATTCGGGTAATGGAGGAAGAGGGTGGTGTAATGAAGTATCACGTTCCTGTCGACATTTCTGTATTACTCCGGTAATTTAATCTCAGTTATCAGGTTCAACTCATCGCTGTAAATCACTAGAGAGAAAAATTTCGATTTATATTTTCGAAAATCTTAAAAAAATAAAAGTTAAATATGACACCGGAGTGGAACGACATAAAAAAACTTTAAAAGATAGTTCTTCTGTCGTGCCGTTATAAATTTAAATCTCACACTCTGGCATTTTTTGACAAGGAAATTGGACACGAAATGAATATGCATGAAATTATACTACCTATCTTTGGTTTTGTGTTTTTTATGGCATAAGTTTATACCTAAGGAAAAAGAAATTTTCACTGTACGGTTCTCTTTTGTTGAATTATTTAAATATATATTAATGATTTTTAAAGATGGTTTTAAGTTCTTATGGAAATGATGTATGACGTGAACATTACAAAGTGTGATGCCGTTATAAATTTAAATGCCGACCCGCGTCGTCTAGAATCGTAGTGAAACTTCATTTTCAGACGGGGCCGTACCATGAAGATGAATATGCATGACCGAACCGAACGCCGTCGTTTCTGTAGCGGAGTCTCGCCGGTCGGACAGAAATGGGGGCCACGGTGGCGGCGGAAGGAGGCGGTCGACTCGGCTTTGGGGAGGGGTACAGAATCCAAAACACGCCGAAGCCGCTTTCCGCCTAGTTCTCACAATACCATTCATTACGGAGATAACCCTGCAACGGACATGCGAGCGCTGTTCCGCGGCCCCCGGAGCCGGGATTTAAATTTAAATTCCGAACGGGGCCCGGCTGCGGCGGCAGCGGTTGTGTTTTTGTTGTTGTTTGGAAATCGCGACCGAGACGGAGGCCGACACGGCTTAATATCAAACCTGAGAATCTAAATTGGTGATGCAAATTAGGTAGTACCTATCATACTGAAAAGTAAAAATCAAGTATTGCAACAAACACAAAATAAATGGAAAATTTACAGGTTTCAACACCAAACATGGATTATATCATTGTTTATACATGGACTTGATCAATATATTTATTTTATGTTACTTTCTAGATTATCTACTCTAAATCCACAACTTTGTTCTCTTGTATTAGGTTCCATCCCGAATTTCCCCTTCGTTTTGGTCACTCAACTCCATCTCATTACGTATACACGTCTTATCTCATGTCCGTCATTTCGTATACCTTCCCGTAATATATATCTCATATGCTAATCCATTTCCCTTGTTCCATCTCGTATGATTATTACGTCTATCATTTGCTCGTTCATCTTGTTATATTGAGTCTATTCCGGACAAGCTCCCAACATTAAGAAACATCTTTATTATAGTTTGTGCTAATATACGGCCATCATCGCAGACCAAATCATTTTGGCCAAATCATTTTGATCCCACAAAGATGATCTTCATGATACTGCCAAACAAGAAAGTGGTATTTCTATTACTATTACTAAGTATTGTTTTCTTCCAGGTAGATTCTTCTGGTCGAGACTGCAACAACAGTACCTCATAGGTCAGCAAAAGTCAGAACGCTTTTCCGATAGCTAAACACAAACTAACCCAATTAAAGGGAGCAGAAGTCTGTCATACAGTTGCGATAAGTATTACTTTCGCCAGACTGTACGTAATATCGAGTGAAGCATCAAGTAATATGATAAGGATGTCCAACTGAGTTTTTACCTTTCTAATAGCAGAAATAGATTTCCGAAATTTGGTAATGAGTAAATATTAAGAAAAATATAAAACATCCATTTAATTATTATAGTCTAAAAGTAGCATATAATAATTAATAAATGTCAAGGAATGTCCTTAGGAAATCCCACTAGAAGTTATTAATTTATGAATATCCCCACGTAATATAGTGTCTAGAACGTAGTTTAGTTGGTGCAATTCTTGTTGTGATAATCAATCATTCAAATACGCCAGTTTTCATTAGTTACGGCAATCTGAAACCGTTGGATGTCGAAACCGCAGTCAACGCAAGGCTTCCTTCAACCAGCAACCGTTTCGGTTCGACGAAGGCCGGGCGTAATCTAAACCCGCAGACGCAAAACCGCATAAATTACGCCTAATACGCCCATTGTTACACGCGTAGAATATCGCGCAGATGGCATTCCTATCCGATCAACCCCCTTCTGACCAAGCACATTTCTAACCAACCGACAATAATAAAGTCTAAAGAATCATCTAATCGGAAAAGGAGGAATGTTAAAGAATCGAAAAGATAATAATTCATTCTCGTTATTATCATTGCTGTTGCTGGACAAAACACAAAGAGAAAAAAGGATGGAGATGAAAAATGAAAACGAAGAAAATGTAATTATTAATGTCGTTGGTATTAAAATAGCTTGGTGAAAAGATGATTAATAACGTGAAAAGCCTCTTTCATTCTCACTACGGCGTTGGATGATGATATTCAAAGCGTCGACCTTGATGAAAAATATTGCCGGGGAAAATCAAAGCGTATTCATGCGAGAAGGGTACGCAATTTGGGTGACGCCTTTATGATGTCCTCTCATCCGCCTGCTGGCTTGGGTATATTTTTAGAAGTCTCTTAACGAACCGCTATTTTGTATAAAAAGGAACGGTGTAGTCTGAGTGTGTATAGGTGCTGAGATTATTCAGGAAGTTTTTATAAGCGCACCTGATCTGTGTGCCAAGAAAAATGAACTAAAGCAGAAACAACTTATTTTTTATCGTACATTTTTTACAAGTTATTCATAAGGATTACAAAAGAGGCTCGCCACGATATTTTGTAAGAGTTAAAATTTTACAACTGATAATTAAATATTTTTTGAAATATGTCTGAATTGGTTGAGCATAAAAAACAAATTTGCACATGCACACGTTTGGCACGTACAAAAAATAGAAGGGAGCCAGCCATAGGGTGAAATCCCTTTGAATATTTATCGAGCTCCGGGTCGGCTTATCCAACCTGACAAGAATATACTCAGGTCGGGGATCCCTTCAGGAGTCCTTCTATCGCCCCAGCTCCTTTGTCAGCAGGGCGACAACCGAGAGCAGAACCATCTCTTATGCCCTATGGAACCATTAACCTGGTTGGGGCACCCTACAGAATTCGTCAAAATGAATATTCCCGTTGTAAATATTACGATGAATTGGTCCGGTTCAGCCTTTCTTTTCATCTCTTTTATTTTTTTTTTATTCCTATACCTACTCATGGGGGACCTTCTTTTGAACTCATTGTTAAACTCAATGTCAAGTAATTTTAATGTTTAATGTGAATAAAATTACTAAAAAAATCTGTTTTTAAATCATTCATACCCAACAGAATTTTAGTTCAGAAACACAAATTTTAATCGTAAACAATGAATTGGGCGATAACGAAGACCATTCAAAAGATCGAGAGATAAGATTCGATTTACCCTACTTTTTTTATTACAAATCCTCCATAATCCTTTTTTACACTGCTGAATGAAAGAGATGACAGAAAGGTGTGTGAGGGGCGAAAAGAGAAAGAGTAGTTTCAAACAATAACATTCCAGGACAATAATATATACGTCCTGTAGACCCTTCCCCACCCTATCTAAACCAGTTTCCTGCAGATCCCTAACCTAAATTCACTAAAGTGGCTTGTCCTGATTAGGATGAGGGGATCTCTCAAAAGCACGTAGCGTCGATTTCCTTTTTTTGCATCTGTCTCTTTTCATAAATTATTTTAGTTATCTCAAATATTCATTTACACCGATAATTTTTTTATACTTTTTTTTTTAAATCACCTGGTTAAGGTTTTCGATTTAACATTTTTTGTGAATACAGTGTTTCCACGAAGTTTTACTCTTTTGAAACTGTCACGGGATCTTTTTTGTGACCCCCCTTAGTATTTTGTAGATCTAGGAACGATAATGGCGTGATTTAGTGAGCGAACGATGGTGAATGGGTGCTACGGGTGCAATAAGGGGACAGCTTTTTTGTTTATTCTAGGGAAAGGCGCGTGCATTATGTAGTCTGTAACGTTCGTTTTTCAAATGGTTGCATTGATTTTTACATTGTGAGATTTTTCACAACGTTATAAAACCGGGAACATACTTCCCTGTCTTAAAAAAAAAATAATGATTGTAATTTATATCTAAAACCCTTCTATCTACAATGTTACCGTGTTACCGTACTATAATATTAATGGTTAATGATCCATGAAACTGGGAAAGTCCAATGAGGGTGGTTAAAAACAGCTGACCATAAAAAAGATTACTATGACCTGACCAGGGGGAATCGGGGTAAAGAGAGAAACACCATTGTACGCTGATAATAACTCCCGGTGTGTGTGTGTGTCGGCTGGTTTGGTTGCCTGAACAAGCGCACACAAACCCGCTATCTATCTGATAATAAAAGTTAATTAGTGTGACGGTTTCGTGCGGCATTTAACTGCCGGATTGTTCCAGATTTAAAGGGCCTTTGTGCTCGAGAATTGGGTTTACGTCAGACCCCGACAGTAGAATGGAATGATTTATGAAAAATTATAGGCCCCCAGATATATTTTTTTAATATCTCTAAACCAAAAATACAATAGATCGTCGTTTATTAATACCGATTAAGTTGTGTATTAACAACTTTTTATAATGACGGTGACAATTTATAATATGGTACAAAGTATTAAAGATAAAAGTACCGCAATGAATAATTTATCTACCCACATGACGTGTCATCTCTAAATAACCCAGCGAGAGAGTTGGAGATCTGTAACAGCGATACCTCTCTTTGGTTTCGGCTTACTCAGATTTGAAGAATCCTGCATGTGGGTGCTTAAATCCCTCGCCTAAGTACAACATCAATTTATGGTACGGCTATTGTGTGTGTGTATTACGCACGCACGTCTCGAGATTATGTCAGTGTGCACGAAAAAATGGGCACATTATTCACACCGGTATTGTTGTTGTAGGTGTAGGGGGATTTTTTGCTCACTCAGATACAAAACAATGTTAAGCAAAAAAAAAGATTAATCAAGGATGTAGATATTTTTAAGTGCACGCAATCTTAATTAGTTTATAGAGATCTAGGATAATTTCGTTTATTGATATTTTACCAATCTATCACGAGTTGCGCGTATATTGATCATTTATCATGGACCATCTGTCGCGGGCGCGTTATACGTTTGCAATCTGTGCAAGAAAAGCGATTGTATGCAAAACGATGCCGTCGAGGGTCTCGTACGTGGTTGTTTATTGAAAAGGCCAATATTTATTGTAACCGTCGATCCGCGATAGCGAACGCAAAACAGCCGAGTCCTTTCATTTATGACGCGCTGTCAGCTATGTAAGCCTGCGATACCATCAAGTACACTTTGTTATATTTGAACGTATGTACGATAAAGCGCGACATATTTTCTAATATAAAGGGTACTTAATCAAAAAATTGGAAAGAGTATACATAAAATCGATCATAAAGATTATTGTTATACATTAAAAAACAAAAAAAATGTACTATCTAAACATTCATTTTTATTTCGTTTTTGTTTTAATACTTTTGTTTCATTTTTTCAGGTCTGCTTTCTCAGAATTATCTTTTACTTAATTTCCGTTTTTCAATTTAAATGGAGGAACCAAAAAGTTTTATTGGATTAGTCTGCTGTCTATTTAATGTAAAAAATCTAAAAAAAAATTTTAAAAAGAGAAAAATTATCAACAATGATTCACAAAAATCCTGAAAGCCAAGCTAATGTGGAAAGATTTCATTTCACGTGTTAGAGTACTTGAGATGTATCATGAAATGTATGTTCTATATAACAGTGCAATTAATAGTTCTTTTGTAATGACAGCTTTTGAAGCATTATTAAGACATGCCATAATAAGAAATCCAATGAATCTATTCTATAACGCTCCAATCTATCAAAATCTTAGAAACATAAGAATAGAAAGCCTATTCTGTGCAAGGATTGAAAGTCGATGAGGAATACAAACCTATAATACTAAAAAACTTAAATACGGTATTGTTTCAGATCCTGCTTGACCACCAACGCCGTCGTAAAAATAATGTTATTGTGCGAACCTGTATTTTTCTTGCAGTTGAGAACCGTTAGAAATTCCATTAGTTGAAAAAATACCAATTAATGTCCTATACAATTCAAGATACCCTACCTCGCAGAAAGTAAAGATAAGTACTTTACCGTAACTTCCACATGTAAAGAATTCTAACATGGAGAACATTTATGTGAAGCCACGAGTTTTGACACAAGCACACAATCAACTTGTGCCTACGTATTGTTGAGATATTTGAAATTCTCTACGTGTACTCACGAAATGGGATCGATTAAATCGATTCCGAATGCATTTTGTTCCATGCCAACTTTAATGGAGAGTTATCTTAACTCAAATAAGACAGTTTAGAATCAAGAGGATATTCGAATGAAAAAACTACAATTAAAATCATTGAATGATCCACGGTCTTTAAAATTCACAAGAAGTAGCAAAAATTGAACTTACGCTACTTTGGCAGCTTTATAACTTTTAATTACAACTTTAATAGGAGATTAGGACTGCAGTATTGAAAGAGATGAAGATAACCCTTGACTCCCTGCTAGGTTATAAGATCCACTCAAATCTTGGGTCTACACTAATTTCATGGAGATTTATACAAACCAGTAGTGTTGTTTGCGGTTTGCAGACTGTCGTCTATCTCGTACTTGCAGCTTTAAGCTAATTTAAATTGAAATTTTAACCTAATTGTTCTCAATATCTTAAATTGGTCCAATGATAAGTTTTTCAAAGTTTATGTTCTGTATTAACCGTATAAATAATTTGTGAGTTTACTTCACCAATATTCAACAAAATGTAAAATATCGTCAAGGGCCATCTGCAGGAGGTTCTAGACACCGCATATTGAGATATAAGCTCATCAACAACAGCAACGCCACCTTTAGTTAAGTTATAAACGGTGTTTATCTCCGCCTTACATTTATCTCCAGTATCTTTATCAATTTTGTCGTCAGAATGTAGAGTTGAAAAAAGTAGGACATTTTTATATTTTCGTGGCACATATGACACCAAAACTTCTGTTTTCAGGAACGCAAACACTACTGTACACTGGTCTCTGTTTTGTATATAAAAAACATGGTGGAATTTCTTTCTTTTTTTTTTATAGTTCCAACAATTATCGTTCTTTTGGCTAACAAATCTAAGGCTAAGGAAACTGACGTGAAATAATTGTCCATTGTTATGTTTTTACGAGTAGAAAGCGTCGTAAGTGTAGAGCGACAAATGACGGGTTAAGAATACTCAATCGATCAATCAATCGTAACTACTTCGAATAGTTCCTCGTTGCAAACATTACCTCTTGCTTTTGCGTATAACTCAATGGTTCTTACTACTCAATAATTAATATTTATGAATGGGTATCAATTTCTACCAATTAATCCTTGCAATTAAGAATACCCAACTTCCTATAAATAGTACTAAGCTTTAATTGCTCACAATATCTTGTCAATACTTTCCACTAAATTGATCCGAAAACCTAGCAGTTCCCAATAACTATTAAAACTTAAAAACATACTTTTAACCTTTATTTTTTCTAGTAAAATTCTAAATCATTATATTAGAAGAGTAATTTTGAGCCAAGTACCTCGTCGTGGATCATAGACACAAGCACACGTAAGGTGTAATTTAGTCACTTCCTGGACTATTTTAGTAATTATAGGGGTATGCACTTTCAAACACGTATTTTAAACCTTACCAAAGTGTGTAGTTAGCCATAAGTCACAAGAATTTATACCATTTTAAATGTTACCTACGATACACGAACTGTTGTCTGAAATTTTACATGTGAAAATAAAATTCATTTCACTGAATCGTCTTATTTTGATTGCGAATAGTTATTTCGCTTTCGTTTCATTCTCTAATGGAAGTGTCGTGTTATAATTTTACTATTCACGTTATTCTGTCATTCGAGTGGACAATACGTATGGCGAGATGAAATCTGTCGGAATATTTTTCGCTCTCTATAAAATATTACTTTATGGGAATCTTGAAAATTGAAATTGAAAACGTCTCTCAATTAAAATTGAACATCAAAACGGTTTTAGATCTATATAATAAAATCTGCTTTTGGGAAGTTAATATTCCGTCAACTGGCGGGTGTAAAAACTGCTTTTAAACAACATTTACGACCAGTTAAGACATTTTACAGCACTTTGCTAGGAATTTATCTCTGTATATTTGTGTGGGTAGGTTGACTAAAGGTTTTAATAATTCTTGCTTACGTAGACGATGTAAGTAAATGGAAGATTTTACGAAATTATCTCTCTCCTTACTATAGTCGACAACATTAAATATATTGGTATTTAAAACTTTTACGACATTGAAATTACTTAATTAAACCGCTACGGATAAGGCGATGGTGTTGTAAAAGTTTGTAATAAATCACTTGATTTTCTACGGTTTTTATATAAAAAAGTAAATTCTTTAATTTATAATTACACAAAGATGTGTTTATTAAAGCCATGTTGAAAACAACAAAGAAAACTTATTTAGTAAGAAACACAAATAATTTCGTATGTATGTAGTGATTAAAACACATTGTTAACAAAATTTAATTTGATTTTTTTCTTTCTATGCCTTATCCAAAATCCAATTAATTTCCCCTTTTTCTTCGCGGCACAATTCCGAACGTTTAGGACCCATTAAAAGATAAGCAGCTCCAGGGGAAGGCGTGCACTCGTATTGATTTCTTTATTTCAGTCGGCCCCAATTTAGATCGAACCAAAGATTCGAAAGTCACATTAATTGATTACGCGTGAGTTCCTTCCGTCGCGTTGCTCGGCACCCTCTTGTCCTGCTTTTTCACTCCCCAAGCGACGACGAAAGGATTTCCAATTAACGTGTTTTTTCAAAGTCTCCATCCCTTCTCGACGTTTAAGTTTTGATGAAAAAAAAACTTCAAATTGATGAGAAAATAGAAATTAAAGGACTACGTAAAAAAACAAGCTAAAATAAGAATGGATGATCATTCCAATATTAAATTGTAAAGGATTATTTTAGCCTCGCTCCACCATTAGCATGCTGTGAATCATTTCACCTCAAAATAATTGATATTATGACATGACATTTTTAGTTTCTATGTAAATAGTTACTTTATGTATGTATGTCATGTATGTTGTGTTGAATTTTATTTGATTTTATTCCCACATTTTACGATTCTTTTTGTGCCTCCTTTTTCTTTAAATTTGTCTTATATGCTTCGCATTTAAATTTGATACATTTTTTATTGGAAGAATCAAAATTTTTTAAGAAACATGGTAAGAGTATCCGGCATGATTACGTTGCAAAACTACCTTTTATCTCATTTAGCGTGAAGTCATCTCTTGTCATCTTGGGCAAGCTGGTGTCCAAATTGGAAACGCTTGTTGGGAGTTGTACTGTTTAGAACATGGAATTCAACCAGATGGTCAAATGCCCTCCGATAAAACGTGTGGTGGCGGAGACGATAGTTTTAACACTTTTTTCAGCGAAACCGGTGCTGGGAAACACGTCCCCAGAGCTGTTTTCGTCGATTTAGAGCCAACGGTAGTGGATGAAGTGCGAACGGGAACTTATCGACAACTTTTTCACCCAGAACAGTTAATAACGGGCAAAGAAGATGCAGCTAATAATTACGCTCGTGGACATTACACAGTTGGGAAAGAAATTGTTGATTTGGTGTTGGATCGTCTTCGTAAATTGGCAGATCAATGTACAGGATTGCAGGGATTTTTAATTTTTCACTCATTTGGTGGTGGAACAGGAGCCGGCTTTACTTCCCTTTTAATGGAACGTCTTTCTGTTGACTATGGAAAGAAATCTAAATTGGAATTTGCCGTTTATCCGGCTCCTCAAATTGCAACAGCTGTTGTTGAACCGTACAACGCCGTTTTAACAACCCATACTACTTTAGAGCACTCAGATTGTGCTTTTATGGTAGATAATGAAGCTATTTATGACATTTGTCGACGTAACTTGGATATAGAACGTCCAACCTACACCAACTTAAACAGGCTGTTAGCCCAAATTGTTTCTTCAATTACTGCATCTTTAAGGTTCGATGGTGCTCTTAATGTAGATTTGACAGAATTTCAAACCAATTTGGTACCTTATCCACGTATTCATTTTCCTTTAGCTACATACGCCCCTATAGTTTCCGCAGAAAAAGCCTATCACGAACAGTTATCAGTTATCGAAATCACCAACGCATGTTTTGAGCCAGCTAATCAAATGGTTAAATGTGATCCGAGGCATGGAAAATACATGGCATGTTGCGTAATTTACCGCGGGGATGTAGTTCCTAAGGATGTTAACGCCGCCATTGGAACCATTAAGACAAAAAGGACAATTCAATTTGTCGACTGGTGTCCAACTGGATTTAAAGTTGGTATCAATTATCAACCACCAACGGTTGTTCCAGGTGGTGATTTAGCTAAAGTACAACGTGCAGTTTGCATGTTGTCTAATACCACCGCCATTGCTGAAGCATGGGCCCGTTTAGATCATAAATTCGACTTAATGTATGCTAAACGAGCTTTTGTTCATTGGTATGTAGGTGAAGGTATGGAAGAAGGTGAATTTACTGAAGCCCGTGAAGATATGGCAGCTTTGGAGAAAGATTTTGAAGAAGTTGGTATGGATTCGGGTGATGGTGAAGGAGAAGGAGGCGAAGAATATTAATCTTCATGACTTTGCGTTATATTTTGTTTTATTATTCGTAAATCGTATAAAAATTTGTTTATAAATAAATTTTTTTTTATATCGTTGTTGTATTAATATAGATTTATATAAGAATAAGATTAGGTTATCTGGAGAGAATGAGACGGTCAGAAGAAGGCTTAGAAAGCTACCCAAATTATATGAACCAGATGGAATCAATAATTCCAATATCAACTATAAAAACAAGATGGCTTCTAGAACAGGCTAAGACCCACAAAATCATTTAATTGAAATAGGTACTAAATACACAATTTTATTATGTTTTGTAAATTTTATCAATTTATTAGATAGCGGATAATTATTTTGATAGAACTTGACTTATTATAGTTAAATATTTATTAATACTCGAATAGACAAAAAAAAATTTAAAAGTAATCATTTTTATTTACACTTTTACATAATAAGTATAAAATAGAAAAAAAATATTTCTTTTTCATTATATAACACTTGATTTTACACTGTTACAATATTCGGAATCGACAGCCCCTTTCACACAAAAAGTCTTAAGCGTATCTTGAATAATTTTCTTTATGTTAGAATTTTCTTCAACGCGTTTTAATTGATTTAAAGCTTCCCCAAAGAAAGCGTGGCACGTCGTTTTAGTTTCCATATGAATCCCTTCTTCATCTACCGTAACCAGACCGTCCGGAAGTTTTTTGAATGATTCGTAGCCAGTTTCAACCATAGTTTCAATTATTTTAAAATCATCTTTATCTTTACTTTCTTTTGGTGGTACGTTTGTAGCATCCTGCACGTTGTATTTGTAATAATTCAAAGAATTTTTGTGTTTGTGATCTTCCGAGTTATCCGTAATATCTGGAAATTTAAAACTAATTCCAGCATTGTCCCACAGTTTTAAAACTCTCGCTGCGAAGTTTAAAGTGTGCTGATTCATATTTTTCCAAGAATCATATAATGGGCTGTATTCGAAGAATTCTTTTTTGGTTGTTTTCGTTAATTTTAGTTGAGGGTATGTTTTGAGAATAGTATTTAGTGATTTTGGTGTTTCTGTTGATGTCGTTTGGGTTGTTTGAGCAAAAAATGGGTTTAACGAAGTATTTATATTTTTATTGCTGGAAAAAATTTTGCTGTATTTCTTCGTTTTTTCTCTAAAAATTTGCAAAAGATTTTTAGCACCAACATTAATGCTTAATTCTTCATTTTTTGAATTCGCCCCATTTAAATCTTTAACATGTCGTTTTGGTCGTTGTTTTGAATTAATTTTTTCTTCGATTTCCGGATATTCCATACAATCGTCGAATGTGATTAACTCTACATGACATTGATTGAATTTTACTAAAATTTCTTCTAAAATATCCAATTGGTCCTTTTCCCATTTATCTTCGTTATGAACCAAATATATTTTTATGTCTTTATCGTCGTCGAACGATCTTTTTATGCATCTCGGATGTAAATAATGTTCATTTGGTTTCATACTACACGCTAATATCATTAAGAAAAGAAATATAAGCGTTAATGTAAAGATAATCATGGATAAACCACAAGATGAGATGTATCCTGGAAATTGCGTAAAAACGTTCGTTGCACCTGTAATAATCCCTTGGGAACGTGTCCTTTCGAAAAAAACATTTCTTCCTTTCTTTGCACCTTTATTTCCGTCTTCTAAAAATAAAAAAAGTAGTGGATAACGTTCTTCTTGGTTTTCACTTGGTGGTGATTCATTCATTTTTATTTTTGGTAATCAAAAAAAAGTTAAATCATCTGGTTCTTTTTAATTTATATTAAATTCTTCCAATTTTTCTTCTTATTTTTTAGAGTGTGTTAGCTTTTTTAATGAACTGGATAAAATACTTGACGAAATCAAACTGGTAATAACATTTTACGTTCAACTTTGACGTAAATTTGTTGACATTTTTAATATTCTTTGAAAAACAAGCAACATGATTTTATTTGTAAACTTTGAGTTCATTGAAACTGGTCAATACACAACAAGTTTCTTTCTTAAACAGGGCCGAATTAACTTATTTTCGAAATTAAACATTTTCTCTTGATAGAAATAAACCAAATTTTAGAAAAAATAATAAAATAAATATTGGATCGTCTTCGTAAATTGGCAGATCAATGTACAGGATTGCAAGGATTTTTAATTTTTTGCAAGGATTTTTAATTTGGTGATGGAAAAGGAGCCAGCTTTACTTTCCTTTTAATGGAGCGTCTTTCTGTTGACCATGAAAAAAATCTGAATTGGAATTTGCCGTTTATCCGGCTCCTCAAATTGCAAAAGCTGTTGTTAAACCGTACAACGCTTAAAATTGCGTTTACGGTGTAGCATTTAACTACCCATGCTACTTTAGAACACTCAGATTGTGCCTTCATGCTAGATAATGATGCTATTTATGGTATTTGTCGAAGTAACTTGGATACAGAACGTCCAACCTACAACAACTTAAACAAACTGTTAGCTCAAATTGTTTCTTCAATTACTGCATCTTAGGTTCGACGGTTCTCTTAATGAACACTTGACAGAATTTCAAACCAATTTGGTACCTTATTCACGTATTCATTTTTCTTTAGCAACATACGCCCAAATAATAGGTTTCCGCATTATTAAAACAAAAAGATCAATTCAATTTGTTGACTAGTGTCCAACTGTATTTTGGATTTGTATTATTGAGGATCACATAACTTGATAATAAAAATAATTTTACTAATTGGTATGTATACGTAAGAAAAATATAAAGTAATATCTTATTTTAATAATGGTGCCTTAATTGAGAATTCTATAGGCAATCTAAGTCTTACAAGATCGTTACTAACAACGGGAAGCAGTCAATTGCCTGTAACTAATAGCCGCAATGTATCTATAGCCATCGGACATATACATCGTGAAATCATTATTACTCCATATTAAATTATAATAAACGACCTCATTGTATACGAGTAACGTTAAAAAAAGATTCATTTGCTTCAAGAAATAGATATCCAACGTTTTCCAAATAAATACTTAGAAAGTTACAACGTGCCCAGGTAGGTAACTACTAATTGCATTTCTCAACAAAATGTAAAGTGATTGATTGATGGTTAAGATACCTGAACGGTATTTAATGGCTACCTTCTCGATAATACAATTGTGAGTCGGGTATAAATTGGCGAATTTCTTGTTTGACCTTTCGGACGAAAGCACGATCAGTCCTTACCTGGGGTTTTCTAAAATTTCTTATATTGAATAGGTATTGTTTTACAGTTTTTGAGGTCAGATCCTTTGCCATCGGGACCTCTTAGCATTGAATGGAAACCTAAATGAACCGACGAAAGCAAAATGTCACTGTGCGTGAAATACCGAAGATGCGTATCGGGGACGTGAATCTTAACAAATAATAGCTTTATGGACTATTGTTTCTTTTAATATTAATCTCAACCGTGAATTATTAACAATAGAATTATATAGTTTCATTTTTAAAGATTATTTTTCAATATTTTTTAAAAGCAAATGATTAAAAAAAATTTAATATCCTGAACTAATTAAATATATATTTTAAGAAAATTTTCAATCATTTTTAATATCTGGTTTAAATTTTGCTTTATTGAATTAGTGCTTATTTGTTTGTGTGTATGATAGAATTTTAATTGGGTTAAGATAAGAAATTTGGAATTTAAGTATAAATGTATGATGTATGAAGATTTATTATGAATGATACGTAACAGTACACATCCGTGCGGATTATACAGGGATCCTTTGTAAATAGGAAAAGGAGGAGATGAAGGAGACGCCTGAATAAACAAGAAGATTATTGGTTTATGGGTCGCATTTTAGATCTTTTACCCTAATCTGTATTTAGCTAAACTTCCTGTAGTATAAAATCAAGCAAATAATAAAAACTTTATTCAATCTTGGTTTATCGAAGTATGTAAAGTCGCTGATTTCAAAAGTATCGGCGGACCGGGTTTATATAAAAAAGATACAAGTGGTTAATAAAACCTATTTGAAAACGTTGGCCATCAGAAGATGACGGCAACGTCGTCCCTCGTCCATATCGACAATTGCTCAATTAAGTCTCCCCCTTGGTTCTCAAAGGCCGTCATCCCAACGTTGCTTTCATATCCCGTCCTTTTATAGTAATTTTTGCACTCGGCCGCCGATCTCTCGGTCCGCCTGGTGTGCCTCTATATATATTACGATTTCCTGCTTTCATAACGCGTCGTTCCAGGGCGGCCATCCTCGTGTAAATAATCAATTCACATCGGGGCCGGGTCCCCCACGGGCACCATCTGCATTAAACTATCATTCAAGCGTCACACTTCGGTACAGGGAATAGTTATTAACTCTGGGTGTTGTATCCGTGGTATAGAGTATAGAGGAGAAGAGTTTTCGTTATGGGTTTGATGTAGACAGTCCGTCACAGACGAGCAGCAAAGTTTGTAATTCCTGGGTCTCACACCGGGGAAGGCATATCAATTACCAACGGAAAGACGACGTCTCTTATAATCCCGTGGAGAAAACGGACGTCGAGAATCAAGTATGGTCGAACTGCGAACGTAGAGGAGACCCGGAGGAAATAGGATGAGGGTCAATGTGCGACAGCTACACATGGTTCTCATTTTATCGTCGACATGTTCAATTACGACGACGACGGACTGAGAACGTTTATTTTTGGGGTGTCGTATATCCGTTTGCAAATATGCAAAGAACCGAAATGGTAATAAAGAATAATATTACGTAGTAAGCGGGGTGGTCATAAAATAATTCGCTACGCTATTATAAGATATTTGCTTATTTAGGGGACAATAAAAATAATTGCCGTCATATAAAATTAATAACCATTTTATATGTTAAATAAAATGTTTGTGGCAAAATTGTTTTTGGGCAATTTACTGCAGATATCTCAAATAATTATATCGATTAAAACACGAAAACGATTGAGAAATAATCTCACTTGATAACAAACAAAATATACACAGTTTTTTGATTGAAAGGTACTTTTTACAACATAATCGCACTATTCCTCATCATTTCAAGAACGTGATAAAATCCTCACCGAACCATTAACAATATAACCGCAACGTATACTTAAATCAACA